GCTGTAGTTTGTGAAAAATAATTTCACTTTGGAAACTTCTACCATGTCGGGGGGCGGAGCTAAAGTAAACAAACGGATAGGGGGAATAGGGGAGGGGGGTTTCTATTGCAACTTCTGCATACAGCACGTTCTGGAGAGAGATGAAGAACAGGMAGAACTGAAAAGGTGAAATTTCATTATTTGAGATTCTTTTTGTGAACTAAATCAAATGAACATGTTTTGTACAGCCCACAGATGGATCCTAACTTGTGCTAAGACCCCCATAATAGGCCCACTTTAAAACATCCCTAACCAGCCTGTAAAAAGAGCGCTAAAAATCAATATTTTTTTACAGACTGGTTAGGGWTGTTTWAACCCCAGCTTTGTGTAGCAGGGGTCATATTTATGTTACAACCAGGCATGGACCTCTTTCTGATTTGAGTCCAAAATAACCGGGTCATAATAATGTGTTTTTGTCCTATTGATTATATTCTTTTTACTGAGTCCAGAATAGGGTTGGGCAATATGAAAAACAAACAAAACAGATCACGATGAATTTTTTCATATCGTCCAGTTTTAGAATATAATTTTAACATTAAATATGCCATAAAAAACATAAACCCTACAAACAGCAACAATTTCTGCACACTTGCCCACTGAATAGGATCTAAGCTCATTATTTGTTTTGSAAGGATTTTTTTAAAGTTCTGTCTGATTCTGCACACAACAAAATGTTGGATAAACTCCCAGCTTCTGAGTGTTCAGGAGTTTGCAGCGTCTCTCAGCTGCTGTTTGTGATGAGACTCAGACAGGAAGCAGGCTTCACGTCACGTCCAGCCCATCGTAAAAAAAACTTACAGAAAAGGTCTTCTCCAGATAAATAAAGAACTGCTGGAACATTATTCTGTCATAAACTTACCCTAAGACCACTTCATAGTTTTGGAGGAYGTTGTCGTTTTAGTGAGTCTGTTTCGCTGCACATCGCAGTTCACTTCTCTTTTTTCCCTCTGTGTCAGTAGGGCAGCTCAGGGCTCACCCCAGCAACCAAAATACCTCAGATACATGCCCAAATAGGCGAATTCTGTGAGACTCAGCTTTTTGTACTGGATTACATTTTGTTTGGTTACTTCTGCGATTCTGTCCGCGTTTCCTTAGCAACTTATAAATGGAAGTGGAATAGAAGAAGGTGGATTCTGATTGGCTGTTGTTGTGCACATTTCCRTCATGTTTGATCAGGGCTGGTAAATCGTGCCACAACAAGAAAATTGTGGATAAAAGAGGAATGGTCACATCAGCAGTTTGGCAAATATAATCAGCCTTTTATCTCCTGGTTCTCATTTCAAATAGGTAAAACAAAAAACAAATCAATAAATATTGACATCGACTGATATGAAACACTTATATAGTGACATATTTTTCAGCCATATCACCCAGCTGTTCTTATGATACACTTCCTGTATGTCAAGAAATCCAACTGCATGGTGTCCACCTCTTTAAAAACAACAATATTGAACCAAAACCATTGTGATTGATTAAAATCACAGTTCATGTCTTCTTATCAAAGCTTTTTTCACAAAGATTACTCACCACACTGAAGTCCAGATTCTGTTCGATCCATTCTTGGCCRTCTTTGAACTCCTCGTGCAGACCCATGATGTACAGAGTATCTAAGGCATCCACAATGGATGCTCCCAGCTGAGAGTTACCTGCACAAAACACATGCAAAAAAAACATGTTAGATTTATGTGTTTATTCAAATACAGCCCATATTCTATGTAAAATTAATCAAGGGTTTGGAAGATTTTCTGTTTGAAATTTACTCATTGTTTGGAGGACAGAACAGAACATATAATTTTTTAGAGTAAAATTTWAATTTTAGAGTAGTTTAAAACCCTTATTGTTTCTTCTCAGCTCCTGTGTGCATCTGTGGAGTCATTAGGAACAATTATTGTTTCATCTGTTGTTAAGCTGTATGTAATTCAAACTTGACTGTATTGTTTTATAAATTCTGAAACCTTTGAGATGTCAGTTGCTTTAGTGTTAGTGGTGTTTGAAATAGTCATTAGCTCGTCAGTCTGGTCAGAATTAAACCTTGTTTCTCTAAACTGAGGTTCTTTAAAGAGCTGCCTACAAGTAAAATGTTGATTCTTTACAAACTTTCCAAAAGACCCCTCTTAAAAAGATGAGAACCATCCCTTTAAGTGAAGTGTTTATATGACAGTTTCTTAATGTAGAGCTCACTTTGACTCTTTGATGCATCAACCTTGTTTCTTCTTCTTTCCTCCCCCATTACTCATCTCACAACCTCTGAGATCTCCAGGAACTCTTCATATAAAACATGATATAYATCAAGTAGACGTGTACATGTTACTATAAATAACCTGAGGACAGTATTTATACCAACTAAAACCAAAACACCACCTGTACTTTGGGACTTTGACCAGATTTTTGTATTAGGTTTTACTTAGAAAAAAAATTGTGCACATATTAACTGTTAATTGCTGTTTGAATACATATAACTGCTTACCTTTATATTTTTTGTCATATGATGTTTCTGCCAATGTGGTGGCTACTATCTCAGTTATTACTATGAGACAGATTGCAGTTTTAATTAAAAGTACAGGAACTTTAATCTGCAGTTAAATTTTTCCAACACACACAAAAGTTTCTCTAACCTTGAGAAATCCTGCACTCTTTCAATTGAGGAAATAACCTTGTAAAGACACTTGAAAAAAAACTTGATTCTCCATTTTCTTTCTGCTCCATCATTCAGTCTTTCCATCAGCCCCTCCTCCTACCTACCCATCTGTTTGTTCTCATTCATCACTGTCGTCCTGTGTTTTTGTTAATCTTACTTTGATCGCTCCATCCAAACCCCGATTTACAGATACTCCTCTACCCATCTGTTTTTCAGCCCAATTCCTTTTTTTCTTCAGCATTCTGCTCACACAAATACTCATTTTTTTCTGCTTATCTCCKTTGAGCTTGCCTTTACCTGCCATCATCCTTATCTTGCTGTGCAGTGGTTTCTCTGCTGCTGACCAGAATGTCAGACGTGTGCAGCCATTTAAATATTAGCGGCTTCATATGAAAAGCTAAATTGGCACTTCCAAGTGCTAGGTGTTTGGATGCCAGGCGCTGCTTATCCAAAACAAATTGGCCAGGATGTGGTTTGTTTAGTTGGGGAATTATCATCTAAGCCTCTATCACATACATACCCCAACAGACAAAATTTAAAACACACTCTCGTCTCTTTTTTATTTGACTAAACCACACACCTTCTGACTACTTCAACTGAACTCTTACTTTACTCCATCATCGCCTCTCCATCTATCACAATTTCACACACCTCTCTCTCCTTTTCCATTATCTCTCTCTCTCTGACACTCACACCTCCCTCTCTCTCCCTTTCTCTATCTCTCTCTCTGTCGCTCTGCCAGTTTCATTAGACAACGGGCTCCTGAGCGCTCTGGTGTGAATTCACATGAGGCTGAGAAGCGTCATACCATTATTCAGGCTCTCTTCTCCCTGTGTGGTAAACTGGAGGCTCGCTCATGGTAGAAGACAATGCAATGCAGAGCTCTGAGATGTTTCTAAGATGGATGTGRGTTTGTTTGGGTTGGAGGAACACGAGCACAGAACAAAGTGTAGGAAGGTTGTGAAATTACATTACAAGAGACAGCTGGAGATAAGCATMAACTATCTTTAGGAAACCCAARTTCTCAGAGAAAAYACAAGGAGAASATGCAAACTACACAGAAATACTCCAGGTCCAAATGAACCCAGGACCTACTTGATGTGTGGTTAGTGTTGGCCACTAAGTAGTTGTGCTCTTCCAAAGTCAAAAAGAATATGGGTAAAAACCTTTTTTGAAATCTAAGTAGACAGAAAAAGCAATGAGTACTTATCTACCTTCTATACTCTGTTTAGTTAAAATATGAATAMTTAAGTCATTCATTTGATTTTAGTAAAATGGGTTTATTGTAAGGTCTGCACTTTAATCAGAATAATTAGCAGTTTCTTGTATTATTATAAACAGGTGAAATATTCTCATTAACTGTATTAATCAGGAATTGTTTTCATACTTGATTTAAAACAGATAAATCTCTCTAGTCAATCGTATAGCTCAATTGGATATCACATATGCTACATCTYCAATTTCTGATATTTATAAAGAACACCTTATGGCACAATCAGTTTGATACACTGGCTGCAGATCAGGCTGTCGAACTGCTGCTTAAAACAATTAGTGTGTACTTTGAACAGGGTGACAAAGCTGGTAAGCTGTTGGCACACTAACGTCGGCAGACTGTTTCACCCCAACAGATCCCAAAAATYGCCACATCCACAGGCACTACAACAGACCAAGAAATGATTAATGTAAAATTTAAGAATTACTACACCTCACTATAATCATCTGAAGTAAATGCAGGGAAGGGGATTTTGATGGCTTTGTCTCCCAGTTGGAAATTTCTCAAGTCCACTTGAATACAGCAAAAGAATTAGAAACCCTGATAACTACCACAGAACTTCTTACTGCACTTAAAGCAATGCAATCTGGCATATGTCCAGGGCCAGATAGCTTTGATGGAGTTTTATAGATGCTTTCTTTCAAAACAAACTTTCCCCAGTTCTGACTGAGATGTTCAACAAATCCTTTATGCTTGGTAAACTGCCACAAACATTAAACCAGGCATCAACCTCTTTCATATTAAAAAAGGTAAGGATCCTCTTGACTGCTCATCTTACAGACCTATCTTACAGACCTATTAGCTACTCAATGTGGACTTTAAACCCTTGTCCAAGTTGCTTGCCCTTTGTCAGGAAATAGTGCTGCAAAATGTAATTTCTACAGACCAAACAGAGTTCATTAAAAATAGACATTAACTTTTTAACTTAAGACGTCTTTTTAACACCATCTATAATCTCCCACTAACAACTTTACCACAAGCAATTATATCCTTAGACACAGAGAAGGCATTCKAATGGACATATTTATTTTACACTTTACAGAAATTTATTTTATTTCCTGGGTGAAGCTTTTAAACTCATCAACTTCGACCTCCCTAAGAACAAATAATAATTACTCATCTTATTTCCCCCTTTATAGTTCTACACATCAAGGCTGTCCTCTAAGCCCGCTTTTATTTGCTTTGGCTATTGAGCCTCTTTCCAYTGGACTCTGCAGCAGTATGCAAATTAACAGCACTGCATGTTATGGACAAGAATAGAAAGTAGCATTATATGCAGATGATGATCTTTTTTTAATCACCAACTTCTCAATATCAGTTCCAGCTGCACTTTCCATTTTTCAGTCATTTGTATCAATATCTGGTTACAAATGAAATCTAGGAAAAAGTGAACGTCTTCCTCTTAAGGCAGCATAAGAATATCCACTTTATACTCTATCAGTTAAGGTTGTCCAGCATGATCTGAAATATCTAGGGGTTCAGGTTACTTCTAAATTAAAAGATCTCTACCAAGCTTCGGGAGCATGAGGTACCAGGCCTGTTGAWATGGGCTGTAAGGTCCCTGTAAAACCAGTGTCAGAGCTTGATCTRCATTGCCGGTAGTGAGTTGAGCACGTTTCCAGTGAGAATTTGCCTTTTGTCATCGATTCTGTTCATAACTTTTATGGACAGAATTTCTAGGTGCAGCCAAGATCATGAGGGGATCCATTTTGTTGATCTTAGGATCGCGTCTCCGCGTTTTTCCAGATGATGTGGTCCTATTGGCTTCATTAGGTCGTGATCTCCAGCTCTCATTGGAGCGGTTCACAKCCGAGTGTGAAGTGGTCAGTATGAGGATCAGTGCCTCCAAATACAAGACCATGGTCTAGAGCCGGAAAAGYGTAGAGTGCCTTCTCCGGGTCGGGGAAGAGGTCCTGCTCCAAGTGGAGGAGTTTAAGTATCTCAAGGTCTTGTTCACGAGGGAGGGAAAGGGAAGAATGGAGCTGGAGATCGAAAGGCAGATTGGTGCTGTGTCTGCTGTAATGCAGGCGCTGTACCGATAGGGGTGTAAGAAAATATCGATTCACTTAAATATTGCGGTATTTCATTTCCCGATACTGTATTGATATTCTAAAGCCCTGTATCGATTTTTTATTAAGGTTTAAAATGTCAACTTTCCTGCCAACCGTTCGTTTTTATGTTGTAGTTCAGGCTCTGACTGCTAGTTGGCAGCAGTGAGCCATCCATTTGGATCCTCAACCTCTTGAGCCAGAGAGTAAGGGTAACAACAAGTGTCTTGTGCGCTCTTTTTTCCAATGTTACGGAAGGCAGGCAGGCAGGCATGCATATATAGCGCATGCATCTAGCGTCTCGAGCTCGGCACCCCCCACCCGTGACATAAAACTCTGTCTGATGCTCTCAACGTCCGGCTCATCGAATCAAAGTCCATATACTTTAAGTTTATCCTGCTGTGTTCGCTTCAAAAATAGTTTAACTGTGTTGTTTAACGTCTCCATTAATTTACTGTTCATTTTCGGGACCTGCCCTGCTGTTCGACTCACAGTTATGCAAATCACGTTCTGGATGCAGGTCAGCTGATCCCAGAAACTCTGTGTGCACCAGCTTAATCTCATCTATTTACTGAACTTTATGACAACATATAGGCTATTGTTAAGTGTTGGGTGACCATATTGTAAATTAATATTAAAAATTAAAAGCTGCAAAAAAT